ATGATAGTCATTTTGTTGTGCACATGACCTCAAAATCTTTTCTTCTTATCCGTCTGACACTCATAACCCTTGAGCAACATCTCACCATTTCCTCTTTCCCCATCCAGATATCCTTGGTAACTACCATTCTACTCTCTACTTCAGTAAGTTCAACATTTTAAATTCCACAGATAAGTGAGATCATGCAGCTTTTGTCTTCCTGTGCTTGGCTTAAAATACCCTATTTCAGTTGCCTCTTGAGATGCTTTATGTTTGCTTTCTTTCTTTCATTTTTTTCACACTCCCAACTTCATCTATGGTGTGGAGGAAGAAGGGTGAGAAAGAAAGACATAGATGGAGTAAAGTATAATCCATTTAAAAGTATAATCCATTTCTGCCAATTATCTACAAATGTCCAATAGAACCGAAATCCCTGAGGAATATATTTTTAAAGGAATATGGAACATGACCTACTAGAAAGAATAATTTCAAAGAAATTTGGACAGTACTATAAAAAGAAATATGATTCAAAACATTCTTTGAGAGGATTATACAGAAGACAATTCTCTAGATGGAGTAAAAGTTAGAAATATTTTTAATATCTCTGAGGACAGGATATTCTAAGGTAGAAAACTCTTGATTATGTACATCAGTTTTTTTAAAGAGTAAAAATTGTATGTATTTATGGTGTGCAGTATAGAATGGCTAAATCAAAGTACAAGTATTTTTACTAATTTTAGTCCCTATGAATTTATTCCTTTGAATTTATTCCCCTTGTCTAATTTGTTTTGTATCTTTCAATCATTTACTTAATGCCCCCACCTCCAGCCTCTGTTAATCACTAGTTTATTCTTTTTGTTGTCGTTGTTGTTAAATTTTTATTGAGTTTATTGGTACAATCTAGGTATACAATACAATTACATCCATTATTGGGATTCTGTACCTTTACATGATAGGTCTTGATTCTCATTTTTTTCCCTTGTCCCTGCCCTCCCTTCACCCTCTCCTCCCTTCCCCATTTACAAACACTTTATTTCCATTTTTTCATTTTCTCATATTTTTTCCTCTCCCCTATTACCTTTCCCCCACCCTTCCCACTTTCCCTACACCTTTAACCCTTTACTTCCTATCTCACATTATTAATTATCTCATTAGGATCTTGTGTACTATTATAGTTTTTAATACCAGAGAAACTATTTGATATTTCAGTTAAAGAAATCTCTATATGAACATTAAAAATAGGGAATCCTAAAATAAAACTAAAAAGGAAAGTTAAAGAGAAAAGGCAATGATGTAAAATTAAAATAATCCTTAATTCTGAAGAGGAAAATGATCCTTGAAAATATTTAAGTTGTTTCTTGCTCTTGTAGTCTTATATTATTCTCTTTGGCAGAATGGAATAAGAAGCAAAATCCAACAATATGTTGTATACAAGAAACACACCTATTACAAAAAGAAGCCCATAGACTGAAAGTGAAAGGATGGAAAACAATTCTCCATGTGACAGCAGCCCAGAAAAAAGGCAGGGGTAGCAATCTTATTTGCACACAAAGTAAATTTCAAACCAAAACGGATTCTAGTAATATAGATGTAGGACAGTACTGTATCATACCTCTGTGAATGTAAAATATCTTGTATCTGCTTTATGATAAGTAGTAGTAACCGTGCTTTATCAGAGCTATTTTTAATAATGTTACTCTAGAATGTTCTCTCTCCAGATGATGATTAAGATGCTAATAAAAAAAATGGTGCCAGGTACCACAACAGAAGCAGAACTTTGCTGTTTTCTGGGTATTATTATTCTCTTCATTTTTTTGTTTTTGTTTTTTTAATGGAGTGTGCTGAATGTCTATAATTTTGTTCAGATGACTGCAGAACCTGGAAAAGCTGTTGCTGCTATTGATGCATAACATACTGCTATTATTGGTCTTTTTATATAAAT